GTTAGCCCCAGTTGGACGGCAAGGCCATAACATCGATTGCCAATGGCGTGGTCCGGGGATCCGAGGATCACGTGTCAGTCCCCGGAGCCACGTGCTGGTTTCGAAACCAGGTCGACCTTCAACCGATTTCAAAACTTACATGTGTTTTGAAACCTGTTTCGAAACTATTTCGAAACACTTTCAACTCACAGCACCCTACTTCGGTGCACCCGAATGTCCCGCCCCCGGGCCAGTCGAAGGCGAAGGGCGTGCTGCGGAAAGTGTGGATGATGCTCGTGGGTGCGGTTGCGCCGGAGCTCATGGTGTTTTTCGCGGCCAGGCAGCTTTTCGTGGCGAGAGAGTTTGCTCGACGTGCGTGATGTCTTGTGGAATCGTTGCTTTTGTTAACTGACTTTACAGGCTACGGCTTGTCGATCACACACGGGTTCTTCTTCTCCATGGGCGGCTTTGTCGACCCGCGCCACGGGTGCTCCGGTTACCACCCTCGCCCAAATCAGCCCACCTCTTTTTCGTTTGCGCCTCAAATATGACAGCGAAGACCATGATGAATCAACAACAGAGTCGGCATACTTGCGGGACATCCGGGCCATCGATGTCCATGACCTCCAGGACAAGTCCAAGACGGAGGAGATCAGCAAGGGCGTGGCCCTCCTGCATACCGCGTTCTTCATCGTCCAGATATGCGACCGCATGCGGCGCCAACTCCCCATTAGCGAGCTCGAAGTCAGCACGTTTGCGTTTTCGGTCGTTAACCTGTTCATCTGGGGATTCTGGTGGTACAAGCCGCAGGGGGTCAAACGGGCGATTGCCATTGGCGACGGCGCAGAAACCGTGCCGACTGCTTCCCTGGGCAAACGCGGCCACAACTTTTATGCGGAGAGATTCGTCTGGGGCCCCATTCAAGGCGCCTACACACACTACAGACCCCCGCCCGCCGTCGCGCTCCGTGCCCGACTTCTGGTCGCACTCCCCCCACGACGCCGAGTTCTCCGCCCCGCTCCAGCTGAGCAGCTTCCTCGGCATGTTCGTCGGTGCCGTCTTTGGCGCGCTCCACCTTTTGGCGTGGTCGAGCACCTTCCCCTCCGACGCCGAACGCGTCCTCTGGCGGGTTTTCTCTGTCCTTATAACGGTGTACCCGGTCATGTTGGCGCTCATGCATTCGTTTGTCGGGCATCACCATACCGCGGAGGACGTGCACGACAACGTCCACCCGCTCGTGCAGGGCGGCGGGGTCGGCGTGTATGTCGTGGCACGGCTGGGGCTGTGTGTCCTCGCGGGCACGACGTTGAGGGCAAAAGACCAGGGATGGCTGGTCGGAGATGGATGGGAGACTCGGAAGTACTTGGGCGGGGCAGATATATTTCGCCGCCCACCGCCGCCCACCAGCCGCCCACCGCCGCGTCACCTAGCCCCATCGCCGCCCACCTCTGTCACGCTGCCGCGGCAGTCACACCAGTAGGTGGGCGGCGGGTGGGCGGCGAAGTACATGATCTGACGTAATCATGTACTTCGCCGCCCACCGTCGTCGAGCAACGTTACAAGGACTCCAAAAGCTGGTGGTGGGTGCCATGGTTGGGCGCTCGACGATAGATCTGCGTGATGCACACTCATGCTGATGGCTGGCGTCGTCTCCGTTGCCTTGAGGGCCGCGGCGGCCATGACAACGCGCCGCCCAGAGCGCCGCCAGGGGTGGGCGGCGAAGTACTCAATTTTAAGGTTTTGGGATTTTTGTTGAATTACATACTCTTGGGTGTCCTGTACACATTAGTGAAGATCCCAATGCATAATTTGTAGTCATTGTGCTGCTATTTACATTCTAAGTAATGATAAATTTTTGGGGATTGTTAAATTGACATATTACATCAGATGAACAACCCTCATCTTTAAGAATTGCACTGTCCGGCAACTAGATAAGACCTCTGAGGCATGGAAATCCAGTGGTTTACAATCTACTTGTAGTATACAGCAGCGACATCTGACAAGTACTTACCCGGGCGTCACCTGGGCTCACGGTAACCCAAACCTCCTCCTCCTCGGTGCCGCCTCCTCCGCCGTCCCCTGTAGCGTAACCATGGGGCTCGCCGGCGTCCTCGGGGTGGACCTACTGCTGTCAGGTGCAGTACCATCGGCGGAACGCGCATATTTGACGACGCGGCGGTCATTTGTGCTGGGCACCACGTTGTGCGATGACGAGGTACGTCGATGCAAGGGAGCCCAGCTGCCGCTTAGTGGCATAGCAGCAACGTACATTGTTGCCCTCCCCGCACCGGTACCGCTGCGGCCGCGCACCGCCGCTCAACTGGAAAGTATGCTTGCCGAGCCGGTCACTGAGCCGCGCACAGCGAGGACAGGCGTAGTTTTGCTGTGACTCGGAAGAAGGTGAGCGCGGCGTGGCAGCCATACTAGGAGTGCTGAAGGGCGAGGCAAGCTGCGGACGACGCAACTTAGACACCCGGGCCGGCGTCGTCGTCATCGCGAAAGATGTTTGGCATGGTGGCACAGCGAGTTGTGATGAGTTGGCGCCGGTGGATGGATCACATCTCGGAGTCTTGGGGTTCTTTAGGTAGCAGGGGTCCATGGGGCGGTAATGGCGCTGAGAAGGCGGCTCCTCCGGGGCGGTGTTAATGCAGGGTGTGCACAGCGTCGCGCCAGGAGCTCCTCGCGGATGCTTAAGCCTTAGGAAGCTTCGTCGACTCTCGAGCTCTCTGCTGCGACATTGCCAGCGCGTACGTTGCGTAATGACAACTCGGGGGGTGCAGGCCAATGAAAGACAGCCGCAGCTGCCGCTCAGCTCGGTAGCGGGTGGGCGGCGCAAATTGAATCAGAATAGCGCCGTAGTCAGCGCACCAAGAAGTCCAGGTCGATGGGTGTTCAAAGAGCGCGCACAAGTCACGGTGTTGCCCTCGAGAAACGGTGAGCTCACTGCGGATGCTCGCGGCCCCGGATGTCCCGAGAGAGTCGTTCCGTGTTCGCGAGAGTGGGGCCCGTGACAAGATATTTCCGCAAAAATGCGGCCCGTCCTCAACGTTGACCGGCGAGTCGCTCGGGGAGCATGTGCGAGCTCTGGGAGGGGCGGGAAAGCATCAAGGCTCATGCTCAGGCATGTTGAGCATGAATCACCTAGCCGCTCGTCAGGCCGCGGACCCAGCTGCGGTGGCGGCGGTGGCGGCGGGCGGCGGTGGCGGCGGGCGGCGATGTGCTTTGGGTGGGATGGGGCCACAGTGGGGGCACCGACGTTGGCTCCGTGAAGTTACGGGAGGCGGTGGCCGAGGGCATGTCGGGATGGTGGTGGAGCGAAGGCAAGATGGAGTGATGGTGATGTGAATGACTCATCATCTGTCATCTGCGGGCGTCGACGCCGTCGGCGAACGTTGATGGCGACGACGACGACGGCGCGGGCAACGCAACATGCGTTCACTACCCGGAGAAGTGGCCAGCGACGAAGGCGACGGCCTTGTGGTGACGAGGAGTGAGGTCAATGGAAGAGAGCGGCGCCGCAGCTGCCGCTTACTGGGGTGGGCGGCCATGTTCATCGCCGCCCTCCTCGCTTGGCTGAGAGCCGCCCTCTGTCACACGAGAGCCGCGCTCAGTTGTGCGAGAGCCGCCCACAGCCGCGGCAGCACTGCCACGAGCCGCCCACCGCAAAAAGAGGGCGGCGAAATTCAGGCAAAAAGCCGCCCCCACCCGCCGTCGAGCCGCCCACCCCAAAAAGTCTAAGGCCGTTTCTCAACAACGAGGCCACTGTTCGAGCCGCTCAGCAGCACGTTCGAAAGAGCTCGTCGGGGGCTATCGAACGCCCCAGGAAGGTCGTCATTATGTGATGTATTGGCGAAGATATCGTCTACATAATTTTCACAGAGCCGCCCACCAGCCGCTTCCGAGCCGCCCACCCCAAAAGCGGCGAAATCTTTTTGCCCACTTGGGCGGTATCCTATGAACATTGTTTTTACTCTATTGTTCTTTGCTCTGTCATGTTGTACGAGTAGTTCATATGTAGTCAGGTCTCACGTTCTGTAATGTTGACTGGAGCTTGACTGGAGCTGGAAGAGACGAAACGAAGAGGAGGCAAAAATTGTGCACGTGATTATAACTTAGTCAGCTCTTGCTTCTTTTCCTCCGACCGCGATCCTCTAGCTCCGCTTCCTTCGCTCGCAAGCCGACCTTGGAGCAAGCACAACTTCACTAGCTGCTGGGTATTCCGAAGGACCTGCGTTCTGCCCTGTGACTCCAGTCTCCGTGCCAGGTGAGTATGCTTTCTTGGGCAAATAGTACTTCAAATAGTTAAGAGGCTCCCCGAGGACGGCATACAGCGCGCTGCCAGGTTCATCCACGCGCATCCTCTATTAAACACCCGTATCTCGTCTGGCCGGCGCCCGTCGACATCGCATCCGGACAAAAATCTGGCAGCAAAGAAAACTGATATCCTAGACTCCGGTGCGTTGTCTGCACGTTCGCAAGGTCCTTGTTGTTGCTCATATGCACAGCATAAACGTGTCTTCTTCTTTGTCATCCAGCGATGACCGTCGTCGCCCGTAGTGCGGAACTCTTGCCGCCAATGCCCAACTTGAAGGAACCGAATCGGGTCCGTAGTAGGATGAATTCAGCTCGGGGCTTCTGAAAACGGGGAGCGTTTTCAGAAGGAAGCGCGGCTGGTGCGTTCTATGTGATTTTGTTTTTGTCCTGCTTCTCATGCGTCCGGCGAAGAAGAGATCTGCATATTCGAGGTTGTCTACGACAGACGGATCCTTCCCAGAATCTCCGAGTCATGTCCTCAAAGCCCCAATTCCTACTCGAGCGCAAACGTCGGGAATCCTCCCCGTCGAGTCCCCGACCTTACAAAATACGACGGAAACGGAAGGCATTCGAATTTCACGAGCTATGCCTTCACATGCAACGGTCTTGTATCTTTCTCTATACAAAGTAACAGTATTCATTGACAGCTTTTTTAAAGTTTGACGCAAATATCGTTCGCAATACATTCTCGTACGTGGTTTGGCGCATTAATACCAAAGTACTGCTGACTTGTTGAACCGCCGCGAATCCTCTGGCGGGGTTACAGGCGTGGAGGGCCAGATGCTGGAGCGGGAACGCTGTTCCTTGGGAATAGCAAGATGTCCACACCCCTCAGCGTGGCCACCCTGGTCCTCGGAGGTCGAGTCGGCGGGCCAGGTAGTGCAAAGCACCGTTGGCGTGCTTTCAAAGTCGGGGCCGAGAAGCTCGCGCAGGTCGGCGCTGGTGATCGCCCGCCCGCCGCGGCCGCCCGGGCGGTAGAACACATGGAGCGCGGCGCAGAAGGAGGCGAGCGGGGGCTGGCGCGCGGCGAGACACGTGCCCACGGCGCGCCACGAGTCGCGCTCGGGGGCCTTGTCGTCGTATTGGCGGGAGTCGCTGGAGATGTCCCGGTCGGACCGTGGGAGCGGCGCGCCCTGGTCGATGATGACGTGTTTGAGCTGCGGGAGGCGCTCGGTGTCGGCGAGCACCGCGATGAGGTCGCGCGCGGGCGGGGACCAGTGCGTCAGGTCGAGGACCTCGAGGTACCACAAGCGCCACGGGAGCACCTTGGGCGTGAAACGGAGGGCGTAGAGCGGGCCATCCGGGCCGGGTGGCGGCTGCGGGAGGGAAATGCGGAGACGGAGCAGTCGGTACGGGTGGGCCTTGAGCACCGCCGTCAGTCCCTCGAGAAAGGACGTGTAGGCCTTGGTGATGAACCCGTTGGCAGGCGCCTGGGACTGCGGCGGGTCGAGGATCTGAGCGAGCGGGTAGACCGCTTGCAACGGCCATTGGATCGAGAGCGACTCCAGCTTGTGCACGTCCTGGAGCGGGCGAAGGTACTCCCCGGGGGGCAGCTCGAGAAACTCCCCACTCCCCGGGAAAATTAGCTCGACGTGCTGCATTGACGTCCGGTGGTACCGTGCCGCGGTCTCGATCGCCGTCTTCATCGACTGCATCCACTCGTCCCGCTGCGATCGCGGGTAGGTCTCCTGATACGCCTCCAGCGCGAGCTCGGCGTGCCGTGCCGTGGTCGCGTTCGACAGCGGCGGGGAGGTCATACGCCGCCAAGAGCTCGTCGTAGCTCTCGGCGGCATGTGGGGGCTGATTGAAGTCGATCTTGATGACCACGCGCAGCGCCTCCATGATCAGCATGTTTGTGTTCCAGGCGTTGTCCATTAACACGTCTGTTGCTTTGGGCTCGGACATTCTGGCAGCAGATGCGGCGGCTGATAGCCTGAGGGTGGGTACTGGTGGGGTGCGCCTCTTAAAACCCTTGGCCACATCATACCCAGGCTTGCCAGACGCCTACGCCTCGCAGACGCCTGTCTTCCGGATGGCGTTGCTCGCTTCAGCGTTTGCACACCTGAATCATGATGACGATTCGCCAATCTCCGAGTTCCGGTCCGAGCCCGGCGTGACAGCGGTATCTGTTAATTGACACTAGGCTCAGGCTGATCTAGGACTCGGAATGTCCCGCTCGGATTTACGCCATATATCCACACTTTTATCTACCCTTCAAAAGAACTCTTCATCCTCGCTCTCCTCCTCCACCTCGACCAAATCGCCGAACGGGTCTTCCGAGTCCTCGGCGCGCGGCGTCGGGCGGGCGGCCTGCATCAAATCAGAAACTCGTCCTTCTTAGCGTGAAAGAGCGGGGACACGCACCGAGGGCGTCTGCGCGTCGACGGTGCCGGTGGGCGTCGCGGCCGCGCCGGGGGTCTGGCCGTTCCCGGTTTGTTGAGCCGCGCCCGCTCCGGGAGTCTGTGCGTTCCCGATCTGCTGGGCCTTGCCGGCTCCGGGTGTTTTTGCGCTGGCGGTCTCACCTGTGGCAGTGGCGCCGCCGGCGCCGGGGGTTTGTGCATTGCCGGCTCTGGGCGTCTGGCCGTTGCCCGTCTGCTGTGCGTTTGCAGCGCCGGCGCCTGTCTGCTGAGCTTTCTCTGCGGTTGGGGTCCCGGCGCCGGGAGTCTGGCCGTTGCCATTGCCGGCTCCTGGAGTTTGCGCATTGCCAGCAGCGCCGGGCGTCTGCGTATTACCGCCGGTGGCCGCACCGTTGTTCTGCACCAGCTATATCAGCCACCGCCTGAGTGCTACTCCCGATCCACGACGCTACGCACCAAGACGCCGCCCGTGGCGACGACGTTGCCGTTCCCGTTCCCGTTCCGGTTGCGGCCCTGGCCTTTCCCTTTGCCTTTGCGCAAGGGGGGTTCAAGATCCTTATCAGGCACATGGGGTAGGGGGGGGGGGGTCCCAGGGGGGTAAAAAAAACTTTTTGTATATGAAAGATTTGGGCCTTATATAGGTGTAAAGACACTGAAAATATAGTATATACACTCCAATTTCTATGGTTCAGAACCCTCATACTTATATCTATGTACTTTCAGGCCCATGAGCTTGGATAGCCTACTCTGTTATAGGTCCATGGACAGGTGATTGATAAGAGGTGAACATGTTGAAGAGTTGATATGGCCTGCCATGTGTGTTTGAAGGTTCCAGGTACATACATACATACACATATACACATACACATATATAAAAAATTTGCAAAAAAAAAGTTTCACAAAGATTGAATTTTTTATCCCACTTTTTGATCGCATCAGTGGTCACATGATGCGAATCGTGGGAACATATTACCCGATATGGCAGGAGGGGGGGAGGGGGGGGTCCCCCAGGGGTCGGAAAAAAACTTTCCGACCCTATATCCATGATTCGAGACTTGAACCCCCCTTGCCTTTGCGGCCCTGCAATGCACGTCAGCCGGCCGTAGGTACATCGGGAAAGAGACACACGGCTTTGCCTTTCGCCTTGCCTTTGCGGCCCTTGGCGCCGGTGCGCGTGCCGGCGGTGACCCCGGTGGCGGCCGCGCCGGCCTGGACACATTCTCATCAGCACAGTCCAGAGGAGAAGATGAAACACGAGACGCACGGCTCCGTTACCCGGGGTGGGATTCACGTCGCCGTTGCCGCCGGGGGTGGGGTTAGCGTTGTTGGTGCCCGGCGTCGCGCCGGCCTGCACGCCGGTCCCGGCGCCGGTCCCGGTCGCCTCGAGCTCCCCGGTCAGCGCGGCGGCCTTGTTGCTGTTGTTGTTCTTGCTGCCGCGCGCGGCGAGGTCGACGGGTGCAGCGAGGGCCTGCAGCGCGAGGAGGACACTGCACGCGAACGAGACGGAGACGGACACGCGCATCGTGGGCCGGGTGTGGTGAGATTTGAAGTGGGTGGAAGGTGGCTGAAGGTGGAGTGAAGTGCGGCACAGCCGGAGGGGTACTGCGAATCGAGGGAGGGAGCGGAAAAGCGGGTGGTGGCACAGCCAATGGGGTCTGCCAACCGCGCGGGGCCTTATATACGGATCGTGCGTGGCTCCATGTCGCGTTGTGCATCCGCGCGGGACGGCGGTGGTTCGCGAAGCTGCGGTGCAGCGATGGCCAGCCCGCTCCAGCCCGCCAGGCAGGTCCGCAGTCGATCCTCGCGACTGCGATCACGAGAGGGCGATGGGACTTCGAAGATCCCACGGAGAAGCCCGCGATCAATCTTAAGTTTCAACCGTCGGCGCGGACCGGTCACGCCGCGGACGCCGACGTCTCTTGTGCGTGGTATTACGTCGGCGCCGGATCCGGCGCGATTCCCCATCGTGCATTGTGGCCCGCCGGTCCCGCAGCACACCTCAACACGCGTACTTCGTACTTATTCCTCATATCATCGGCGCACGTCGACGGTCGACCGGTCGCCGACCAAGCTTCTTCAGACTTTCGCCCGCATGGCAGCCAAGTTTCAGATCGACGGCTCATGATCAGCGGTTGCCAAGCCGCCGCTGAGCTGATCAGCGGCACCATTTCCTGATGTGACCATCACAGGATTCCCACGGCACCGGCTCTGCTCTTGACCCCCACCAGCGGCACCACGATGCTGCCAAACGAGCTCCTCCTCGACATCTTCCACCTCTCGGTCACGTCGGACCTCCGCAACATATCCCTCGCCTCACGGAAATTCTGCGCCCTAGCCCGCCCCTTCTTATTCACTTCTTTGTACTTCCAGCCCTATGTCTTGGACGACGACGTCCGGGCGCTCCGGTGTCCTGCCCCAGAACAACGAAGGCAGCTTACTGATAAGCTCGCGTTGTTTGCCTCGGCGGCCATAGCACCACACGTCGTCCTCGTCAGCGTGACCTCGGACCTTGTCTCTGACGCGCCGGCGCCGTTCTCCGACGATACCGACACCCACACCATGATTTCTGCGCTATTCTCCACAATGGCATTCTTCAGCAACTTGCGCTTGTTCGAAGCGCAGGGCATCACATTCACAACTGCGTCGATCGACGCACTCTCTTCCCTTTCCGCATTCTCCCTCGAGCTCAACCACTGCTCATTACTGCCCCGCCTTTCAAGTTTTCTGTCCGAATTCCCCGCGGTCAAACTCCCCGTTGTCGACCTCACCCTTGAGAAAAACGGCAGTAGTCGCTGGAGCTATCCTGGGCGCTGGCTAGCGGTAATGTCACCGCACGTATTGCAGGGGCTCTTCATCCACGACAGGTCTGAGCTGGAGCAGGCCGAAATTTCCAGATTCCCGGTCTTCCCTCATGTGACGCGACTGAAGTTGCCGCTCGACCCTGCAGACCTAGATGTCATCCCTTCCCTGCTTGCAACCGCGTTTCCGAGTGTACAATCACTTGATATCGATTGCGAAGACAGGCGGACTGCGGACTCGGAGATCTCACACTATTCCCCGGGACTCCTCTTCCCTCACCTGACGGAGCTGCAGAGCCCCGCAGAAGCGGCAGGCTTTTTTCTCCCGCTGGCCCGACCAAAACGCCTTACGTTGCACTATTCCGATGCGGCGCCGCTGCTCCACTCACTCGCCACTCTCCCCCGCGGTCGCCTCGCCCGAACCACACACCTGCAACTGTCGCTGGACGACTGGGCGTCCGGCACCCTGGTGACAGAGATTTTGAATCACTTTCCGGCCATGGAGTCGCTCAAGCTGGAGCTAACAGTGAACGACGACAACGCGACGGGATCGGTGCGTCTTCCCTCGACCGACTCGCGCCATTCTAACACGTACCCAGATACTTGCGCTCGTAATGGCGCTCCCGTCGTTCCTCCCGCCTGCGCTCCGCTCCCTCTGGCTGCACGCGGATGTCTCGGGCGGCTGGGAGAACGACGAGGTGGATAACGCGGGCATCCCTGACACCCGCGTCCTGCATGCACGGCTGGTGGCGCGGTGCCCCGCCCTCCGGGCTGTGGACATTAATGTCCCGCTCTTCCGTCTTAAGTGGTCTGAGAGCACCGGATTCGAGAAGGAGCTCATGGGCTGGAAGGATTACGTCTATGTCGATGAGCGCGACCTATAAAATTTTGAGAGTTCCATGGGGGAGTCTACTTCATCTCGTTTGTACATATAGCTATAAAGGAAGCAACAGCAAGTAGAGGTGGATCATCGGATGCCACTGAATGGCGCAAGCGATTCAAAGTGCGATATTCATTTCGATACAGGAAAAAAGAGTCTGGATCGTGAAATGTGTAGTGAATCTGTAGTTATAGATAAAACTAATCTTGAAGGATACACAAGCTGAGACTTTTTAAAATCCGCTGCAAGCGTGCCGCGCCACGCATGTCCTGCGACGAAATCCTGCTTGGTGCACTGAACTCGGTGCAGAGCTTGGTGAGCTTCACTGGCATCCCGTGACCGACAGCTTGCAGCGCATTAGCGGCTCTGGAGGCAACCCCCTCGAGGAAGGGTTCGAGGCTGACAAGGCCGTCCCTGGCGTCCCGATCCCAATTCCGGTCTTGGCGCCGGCCGGCGGCGACGTGCAGGGTGAATGCAGCAAGGTTGGGCAGGGTGTCGAGCCGCGCAAGGTCCGCGGCGCACTGCTGAGCCTTACTGGGACGCATGTTGAACGCGGTGACCAGCAGCCGTGTGACTGGGCTGAACGCGGGGGACAGGAAGGCGTGCTTGAGGTCGGCGTAGACGGTGGGCATCAAGGAGAGGGTCGTGATGCGTGCGCCGGAGCGGACGATGCAGGATATCACGAGTTGGATTTCCTCCGCGTCAAAATCCGCGAGCTCCAGCGTCGTTAGCGCGGGGATGGCAAGATATTTGAGGAGGTAGGCATTGGTAAGCGCGCCCAGAAGGAGCGTGGACAGGTGGGGCATCAAGACGGGCGTCACCTCGAACTTCGGGTCCACAGAGCCCCCCCAGTTGAAAGCTGAGGCGATGACGAGCTCCTCCAGGCCGACTAGTTCCGCGAGCAGGGGCAAGAGCTCCTCATACGTCGCCGATTGCCGGATGGTCAGTTTCTTCAGCTGGTGGCGGGGAAACGAGAGATAAGGGCCCGTCAAGTAGCTCGGCGTGCGGATGGACAGCTCACGCAGATTCGGGGTGTCCAGTTCCACGTAGTATTGATTGGGTCTCGTAAAATCCTGCAAGTCGATGTCAAGCTTTGTGAGTCGCGGACACTCGATGCGATGGTCATGGCTTGCAAAACGTGACCAGGGGGTGCTCTCCACGGAGGCAACGGCCCACTGCGCAGCAGAGTTGAATAGAAAATGGGGAGGCCTAGAGTGGCGAGGAAGGGAGAATTCCAGCGGTAAACCGCGAGCGTGCTGCAGCGAATCGTCGAATAACGAGTCGCTACTGGAATTGAGGGTCCGGCGCGGGGGGTATATCCGCGTCCACACGTGTGGGTGCGCGATCGCGATATCGCGCCAAAGTCGACAGACCGCAGTAATTCGGAATCGTGTGCGGTTGATTTCGTGGGGAGGCACGGAGTCGATGGCTACCTCAAACATCCGGCCCAGAATTTCGGCGGGGAGAGAGTTGACAGGGTAGACGACGCTCGATAGGTCGTGCTGGATGGCCGCTAGACGGTCTTCGAGGGTTTCTAGCTGTGGCTTGAGGGCGTTGATTGCGTTTTGGATGTGCTCTATTGTTGCAACCCTATGGTACTGTCAACTCTCACTATAATTGTTCTTCCTGATCTAATAAATTCATAGGTCAATAAATGACATTGATGGCCCTCAAATTACTGACACATTCTATAAGTATTTGTTCAAGAAAGCTGATTTTACCAAGGAGCCTCCCATCTTACCTGACCTGCTGAAATCTGCTGAGGCACTGCACTATGCTGTTCTGAGTTTGAGGGAGGAGCAGAAGGTGGATTTTGTCCGTTGGGTACCATTTGTTCATTATGGTTTGTAAACATCCCACAGTACAATATATGAGAAGAGACTGGGGTTGTAAAGGCCCGGCCCCAGATGGAGGTTTCCCTGACAACAAGTTTTGTATGTACAATAAATATAGTTTTCAATAGATCACCAGGCTTACAATATTCAATTTGATGCAATCACAGGAATTTGTCACCATACTTATATGGAAGCAGAGTGAATTCAGAATTCCAATGAGATTGGATTTCAGTGCTGATAATATATATTCATGTCACCAGGACTACTGTCCTATTTTGATCAACTGTCCGGGGGGTGTAACACGTAACACAAGGTGTCCACATTACTATAGAGGGAAATCCCGACGTCAGCCAGAACGCAAAATTGCCTTTATTAAGCCACGAACACGTAACTGAGGCCACAGGTGTCCGCGCCGCGACTGCGTGTAATGCGGATACCTGATCGAAATAGTACAGTATAATGTAATTGTATCTGTCATATATTATGATGGTAATTATATATTTAGTTGTATTTGATTATATTCAGAATATATTCAATCCATTCAAGTGTGTCAGAGGAGAAGGTTGGAAGGATTAGTTCATATCAAAGCTGGGCAAGAGCCCATGGCCAACTCTATAAGTATATGTACAAGTTCTAATCCTTCAAATGGCAGACTGATAAAAGGTTATAAGTCCTGTTATGGCACTTTTTTGTCTCTGCAAATTCAAGGCAAATCAATCTTGCAATCAATCACTCCTGTTGCCAAGAGATCGATGCGCCAGCTTATAAATAAACTGATAAATCGTGCCATCTCCCTCTTTCTTTCCACAAGCTTCCATTCCCCGGACGCCACTACGCTTGAAACAATCACCAATGCGACTCTCAGAGTCATCTATCTTGCATCTATTCGTCATCTGTGCACCGGCTTGCTCCGCAATGAATGGCGCTAGTGCTAGGGATCACAACCGTACCGTATACGGTCCGGCCGTACATTTACGGTGGTTTACGGCGGTCTCCCGGACCGTAACCGTACCGTACTGCAGATTCTCGGTGGCGGTACGGGTACGGCCGTACCGTATACGGCGTATACGGCCGGATCCGGCCGTACTCGGAGGTTTACACTGGTCACTGAAAAATGACCCATCCGCGGGACTTGTCGACGACTTTGACAGTGTCCAACAAGACTTCTAACAACTGTAAGCTGCTTTGTCCTACAGGCAACGCCATCTAACATACCTTGTAGCTGGAATTGACACTTCCTCAGATGCTTGGCACATGCCATAGCCGCCCCGGTCGCCCGGAAATTGGGCCCACCAATTGGAGGTGCTACGTCAACGCGACATTGAGCCTCCTGGGTGCGCCGTAAGCGATGCCGGTGCCGATCTGCTCAACATCTTGACAGCTCGGGCCGTTGTAAGCGAGCCATCACCGTACCGCCGGATACAGCCGGGTACGACCGTAGAGTACGGCCAAGTACGGTGGAGTTACGGAGCTCCGGCCGTACCGTACCGTACTTTGTGGCTTAGAGCTTGGTACGGGTACGGTATGGCCGTACCATACCGTAGCCGTACTGCTGTACCTACGGTCCGGTTGCGATCCCTAGCTAGCGCGTTGGAGCTGCCTCGTGGCTTGGCGTCTCATTTGTGGCTGAACGACGGTCTACAGCTTCCGCTGGGCTGGGTCGGGGGCAGAGCTTCAAATGCAGTCCACTGCTGTTAGGCTCGCGGCATTGAAGGTCCACGCAGCCCACTCGCACACTATCGACACTCATCCTCACCTGTCTGCGTGCGCTTGCCGCTGTTGGGCGTCGGTGCATCCAAATGTCCCGCCCCTGGGCCAGTCGAAGGCGAAGGGCGCGCTGCGGAAAGTGTGGATGATGCTTGTCGGTGCCGTTGCGCCGGAGCTCATGGTGTTCTTCGCGGCCAGGCAGCTTTTCGTGGCGAGGGAGTTTGCTCGACGTGCGTGATGACTTGTGGAATTGTTACTATTATTAACTGACTTTACAGGCTACGGCTTGTCAATAACACACGGGTTTTTCTTCTCCATGGGCGGCTTTGTCGACCGCGCAACGGGTGCGCCTGTTACCACCCTCGCCCAAATCAGCCCACCTCTTTTTCGTTTGCGCCTCAAACACGACAGCGAAGACCAAGATGAATCAACAACAGAGTCTGCATACTTGCGGGACATTCGGGCCATCGATGTCCACGACCTCCAGGACAAGTCCAAGACGGAGGAGATCAGCAAGGGCGTGGCCCTCCTGCATAACTAGTACCGCGTTCTTCATCGTCCAGATATGCGACTGCATGCGGCGCTGACTCCCCCATTAGCAAGCTCGAAGTCAGCACATTTGCGTTTTCGGTCGTGAACCTGTTCATCTGGGGATTCTGGTGGTACAAGCCGCAGGGGGTCAAAAGGGCGATTGCCATTGGCGACAACGCAGAGACCGCGCCGACTGCTTCCCTGGGCAAACACGGCCACAACTTTTACGTGGAGAGATGCGTCTGGGGCCCTATTCAAGGCGCCTACACACACTACAGACCCCGTCCGCCGTCGCACTCCGTGCCCGACTTCTGGTCCCACTCCCCCCACGACGCCGAGTTCTCCGCCCCCTCAAGCTCAGCAGCTTCCTCGGCATGTTCGTCGGCGCCGTATTTTTTTGGCGTGGTCGAGCACCTTCCCCTCCGCTGCCGAACGCGTCCTCTGGCGGATCTTTTCTGTCCTTATAACGGTGTCCGGTCATGTTGGCGCTCATGCATTCGTTTGTTGGGCACCACCATACTGTGGAGGACGTGCACAACAACGTCCACCCGCTCGTGCAGGGCGGCGGGGTGGGGTGTGTATGTCGTGGCACGGCTGGGGCTGTGTGTCCTCGCGGGCACGACGTTGCGGGCGAAAGACCAGGGATGGCTGGTCGGAGATGGATGGGAGAAGTATTTAGGCGGTGTTCTATGAACATTGTTTTTGCTCTATTGTTTTTTGCTCTGTCATGTTGTACAAGTAGTTTATATGTAGTCAGGTCTCACATTATGCAATGTTGACTGGAGCTGGAAGAGACGAAACGAAGAGGAGGCAAAAATTGTGCACGTGATCATAGCTTAGTCAGCTCTTGCTTCTTTTCCTCGATCCTCTAGCTCTGCTTCCTTCGCCAACAAGCCGACCTTGGAGCAAGCACACCTTTACTAGCTGCTGGAGACTCCGAAGGATGCACGTTCTTCTCTGCAGTGACTAATAATCATGTGTCAGGGGTGAGTATGCTTTCCCGCCAATAAGTACACCGCCAAAGGGCCGTCATACAGTGACAGGCTGTCGCTGTCAGATGGGTCCAGCGGAACGCCTAGCTGGGGTCTGCTGGCCCACAGGTGCCTGCTATCTGGGAGGCATCAGCCGGACGCGAGCTCGACAACCAGCTTCACACCAGCTGGAGAAAGGAGCAACAACATGTATTTATGATAGCTGACAGTGTCCTAATCTAAACTATTCATTATCGCCGTATGACTGATACTCTTCATCACTTGTATCTTTTTCCGACACCTGATCGCTTTCCGATCCCCCCTCGGAATCACTCGAAACTTCCTCTGCCGCCAGCGCCTTCGCCGTCTTCGTGATCGTTCGCTTGGTCCGTCCTGCCGCCAAACCTAGGGTTCCTGAAATTGCCACAGAGACTGCGATGGGAATGATAGGCAACTTTGGCTTTTTTTTCTTGGGAGCGGCCTTGCGAGTGCGCTTGCGTGCCGGTGCTGAATCAGAGTCAATATCCTCAGCTCGGCGGCGCTTGCCTTGCTGCATGGCGGCTCCAATTGATTCTGACTCTGGATTGGCAGCTCCATCACCGCTGGACACTGGACGCCGCTCCATTGCAGCATTACCCTTGGCTGCCTTAGCGGTATTCCGATTCCGAAGCCGGGTCGCAAACTCAATATGCTTTGCTGAACGATCATTAAAGAGCGGAATTGGGGCCCAGAGCTTGCGAGGAAGAGTTTCGCGAAGGAGGTGGGCGTTATGGAAAGAATGAATGTTGATGATATAGCGTTCGAGGTCTTTGTGTACGATGAAATGTTCTGTCTTTTCAGACGCGACACGTTCTTGGATAATGGCACGGGAACCGGTGGCGGCGCATTGGGCTGCACGACAGTCATGTTGTGCATTGAAATTGAAGCCGACATCCTAGAATGATAACTATGTAAGTGGAATATAAGCATTTGAGACTTCATACCTTAGTCGGAACAACGAAAAGAACTGTTTCGTCATTGGGGCGAATCAACACTGGCATCCCATACACCGAATCACGGGCTGCTGATGTTTGGAATCGCTCCAAAACAGCAAGGTTGGTCTCAGTACCCTGGAGGATTTCCACAATGCGGGCGGGAACTACAGTCTAATCTTTGTTAGGGCGCTGAAAGGACGAGGGTAAAAACTCACATCAGTCGATAGCCACGATGTAAACACCCAAGACCCGACTCTGCATTCATCCTGCGACTGGCAAATAAAGGATTTTCCGGAGTCCCAGACCGAGTTCGAGATGTAATCACGATAGTTTATTGCTTTTGCTGCTGTTGTAGCGCTTAATCGACGCAATACACGCTTATCTTCGCCTCGTCCAAGTGGGGCCAATTTGACAATGCCTGTATAAGCGACTATGAGAAGGGGCTATGAGAATGCAAGCATTGTACCAATATCCCGCGCTTTTTTGCGGTGTCCAGCCCAAGAGCTTCTGCAAGATGGGGTGCTTCTCCAAGTAATGGCGCACACCAGTACCGGCGCGGACCCATTTCTGCTCGCCTTCTGCTGCCCAAAGTCCACCAGTCAGCCGATGTTTCAACCCTTCCTGGTCTCCCAACTGAATAGCTATATCGCGACTTGGTGCCAGATGATTTGAAAAGATCGAGCAGTAGCGGAAAATGGCATTGAAACTCTCGAAGAGCTCTGTTGCCAAGCCAATGAGCGGGCCAAATTCTGTTGCGTCGTCTGCAGCGTGCGCGAGTAGATGGTATTTGATTTTCGTTACGATTTTGGAAGGGTCGATGACAGCGACAGCATCAAGCAGGTTTGCGACAGCTATTTCAAGGTCGGTCTAGAGTGCAAGTCAGAATGCGGGAGGTATGACAGCGGAACCGACATACACGATACTGAGTAATGTCATGAATTTCGGGGACCCAAAGTAAAGCAGATAGCTCGCCCAATGCCCGCCATGCAGCGAGATGGTCATCCGAGACCAGATCGTGCACATGGAATACTCCCGTCTGAACAACAGTCTTGAGTTGTTTTCCGATTAGTGAATTGGCGTATTGCATGATGTATTTAGCACGAATGGCATGAATGGAAAGCCCGCTCGTCTCGGTCGCTTGTAAGCGCTGTGAATACATTGTCTTCTCCTTGTCGGACCAGCCTGTGTGCGAAATGTGCCACACGTACTTGACTGCACCAAGTAGAATCGTGTGTAAGAGTTCAATGGGTGTATCGTGTGTAGGATCGAATGCTAGTATGGGTTTGCGTCAATACTCATGCTTATGACACAATTGGTCAAACTGTACCTGTTGTTCGCAAGAAAGCGCTATAAATCTTCTCGTCGTTCTCATCCACCCACTTCATAAGCTCCGCTTTGATGTTGGCTGCTGGTCGTTCGGGGTCGGCAACACTTAGTTGCGCAAAACGGGCCTCGAGACCTATGATCCATTGCTGTGTATATGCGTCTTTCACGCCCGTGTTCCGCTGGATCTTCTGGAGCTTGTCCATTGTTGTCCCACCACAGACATGCCGGACTTGGAGCCGCAACTCGTCGAGTACATATTCTTTGGTTCGCGGAATACCAGGCTGTCGCCATTAGCTTATATGTCGGCCAATAGAAGGGAACACAAACCTTGAAGAGCTCTTCATACCCGACATTCGAGTGCTTGTGTGCTTTCGGACCGCCGACCTTGCATTTTCGACAAAAGTAGTTCGCCTGGCCACCCATATGAGACGATACCTCGCTCTGCATCGGGTTGTCGGAAGGGCCGGCGTTACAGTAGACGCAGATCTTTGTTGTGTTTCCTGCGTCGTCTTGTACAGCAATTGGCTTGGTGTGTGTGGCTCTGAAATTATCAGAAAGAATACCGTAATTATATATGGAGGCGCGCACTCAATGGCGGTCTTGAATTCGCGATATTGCTCGGAAATGGACGCATTGGGAGAGGTCGAGACGAAATGGATATGATATTCTTGCTGCAGCAGTTTTCGGGGAAGATTCCGATGTGTCATATACGCGTTCCAATGCTTGTTCCATGATTTAGAACGATTTCCGGACACATCGTCACCAAAGTAATCGACAAGGCTGGTGTACATGGGACAGCCACCCGCAATGGCACGTTTACGATTGGGCATCCTTGCGGGGTGTCCCTTCGAAAATGTCGCCGCTGCTGGCGTGAGAAGTGGAAGAATTGATTGCGGACAGTACTTACCATTCCATTGCGGCACCGCTCCAAGATCAAGCAGGTCAAGATAATTTTCCTTCATATCGGCAGCCGCAACGAGGGACGTCTTTGAATCATCAATCACCGCCTCCCCAGCCTGCTGGAAGTAAGCCTGAGTTGCGACAGAACAAGTTCCATACCTCGTCAATTTCGACACTGTAACAATCTGCGCAAACGGCAGAGTTGACAGTGACCCAGCGTATAGGAATCACAAAGTGGCCGTCCTTAACGCGGCATAGTTCGTTGACATAGAAATGGGCATTGCCGGCGTCATACATGGGACTCAGCGCGTCGAGGTCCATATTTTTCCGCCATTTGTGCGCATGCCAGATCTCGCGGATGATGCCATCGGTAGGTATTTCCGGATAGACACGAATGTGCTGCCGGATTGCAGGGTTAGCCCAATCCTGAATGGTCATAAGTGTGTCTTCCACAGGCCACAGGGCAATGAAGTCGAGATACTCACATGTGCGATGATTGCGCAAGGGTCATTCATAAAAAAAACATTGCCCAGTGGCGACAGGCAAGGGAGGGTAGGGATGCCTGATTCAGCACGAATTTCCTTCTGAACTCGGTTGAGGCCTTCGAGAGAAGGAACATCTTGAGCGCCCGTTTCCCGCATGATCCACAGTATAACGGCGCATGAGAGATTTGGAGACCCGAAGTCGTGAAAGGTTGTCGAGAATGTCAAGGAGGAACATCTGCGCCGCGTTTGATTCAGAAGAACATGGTCAAAAAGGACAGAAAACACACTGTTTTATTCGGATATGGGAAGTATCCGGTGGTTGACGCAATTTTCTGGGTGCCAGCAGTTTGGATTTCCTCCTCGGTGGGCCCGGCAACACCTATAAGGCGAATCAGATGAAGCAAGAGCTTGAAGGGGTCAGCGAAACGGACATGGACAGCAGAATCAAGTCCGCATGTCACATGTCCGCTGTCATCCCACGTTGACAACAACACCCACCCGCGTTGGCTAGCAGCTCAGCGAGGAAGTCCTCCTCCTCATCGCGCTCATTCAGCACCTCCTCCACTGTCCCATCTCCAAACCCCAACCGTCGTGTCACTCCCTCCGGGTCCCATAGCCCGAAAAGCTCCACCTGTCGATCCAAGAGGCTGTGAGCCACTCGACTCTTGTCTGTCGTGTCCAGCCCCGCACTGAAGGCTGCCCCGTCCTCCTCATACGCGCGCCACATCTCAGTCTCCGCCATACTTGGTACCACCAGCAACGCGCGTCATGGGCACGGGAGGCCGGATGGGCTGTGTGGGACGCTGTAGCGCGAGCCGAGTGCGAGAAGAAGCTTGCACTAATGCCTGCTCCTTCAGTCGTTGCTGCCCAGCGCTTACAATTGCGACCGCCTTGCTGTGCTCCTCAGACTCTTCATGCTTGGCTGTACTTCTCCTCCCAATCCACACATGTCGCTCGGGTGGGTTTCCGGCAGCGCAAACTCGACATAAGACACGGTCATCATCCCTTCTCGTACTCCAAACTGTGCATAGTGAGTCCTAATATCCACATTTACTGCTGCCAGTGCTGATTTCCTTACCTTCTTCATTCAGCCTCGCTCCACTTCCTCGGCCAGGCATGGGTGGTCAACAAAGACTCAAGTGAGACCGACTCTCCTTTCCGCAATATTTACGCCACCTGTCGCGCAGCCCTGATCCATATTACTCCAGTATTGTTCGCGCTATTGTCCAGCCCACTCCGACTCCCTATCAGCCGTCCGTCACCTTTCCAGTGCCCTGATTTACGTCGCGGTCTTGTTGCTCACAAAATCACTGGGTCGACAACGAAAAAAGTACATAAGGATGTTTGCCGACGCCTTCAATTCCCATCGACATCCTCGACTGATTTACCTCCAATGTCTGCTGATCCCACCACCCCCACGGCAAACCGTCTCGACGACATATTTGGTGCTATGCAGCAGATGACGCCTACCTTCAGCTTCATTCCTGGCAGCACTCCTGATACCACAATCGATGAAATGCCGCCTCTTCCTGGTCTCAATCTTATCCCTCGTCAGAATGCTACCGAATCCATCCAGCGTTTCGCTGCTTTGCGCCAGCTTCACCAGGACCAGACTAGCGAGTGTGTTGGGCTCCTCGGGGTACGTTGTCTTGACCCGTTTCTCACTGCTAACGTGGCCAACAGGAGCTGGATAATGTGGTCCTCGTTAAGCTCATGGTCGAAATCATGGCGCTCAAGAATCTTGTTGGTAATATCGTCATTGCTACCCCGCCCTACGTTATGTCGGATGCCACCCGTGTAAGCACTGATATCTTTGCTTTGAAAGACTATTCCTAATATCTTGGCAGCGCGGCCTCACCAAGTTTGGCCTTGCGACGCTTTTGTCATCCCAGCTCGGCTCTTACAAAGGCAAGGTCCCCGTCAACATAATCTTGGTCTGTGAATTCCGTCCTGCCTGCTTCATCACTGGCTCATCGTTGTCAACAGAATCTTCTGAAGACGCATCCAAAATCAAAAAGCAGGTGTGTCCGAGTCTTTCGTGTCTGTGTGGATCTGTTTGATGCATACAATACAGGTCGCGCTCTCGGTTCAATATAACCGCACCGATAACTCTTTTGGGTTGGCCAAAGAGCACGTCAATATATATGCGCTCTCGGAGGAACTCATCGAAGGCAGCAATTGTGTGGTCACAATCGAGCTTTGTGCTCGTGTTGCGCTAATTGTAAGTTCCTTCCTCTCTCTTAATTCTGCTGTGCTCATACGCGCCATAGCGTGATGTTTATATGCAGTACCCGAGTCACCCCAAATTCTGGAACAAGGTCGACGACTTCCTTGGCGCAATTCGTGCACAGGCAAATGGGGATGCACGCATGGTTACCCGGTCAGTGGACTTCTCCTCGTTCTACCTGGCATTGCTCATCATCGGAGCAGGGCTTTCCGCAATATCCTCGAGCACGATCGTGGCACCCATGGTGTCAACAACTACACCATCACTGCGACCGTTGGTGATACCGTTCAGCAGCAGATTTCAAGTGTCATGGATGCGACGATTATTAACGCGGCCTCTGCCGCTGGCGCTGACAACATGGATGTGTAACGTACAGTACCGATAGCCGTGTCCAGTGTATTGCAAATATATTTGTGGTCTATAGCCGAAGTCCATGTAGGGTTTGGGTAGAGCATCAATCCTCTTCCATCCGATACAAGAGCTCTGATACAGCCTTTTGACCAGCTTGCTGCCAGCCAAACCTGGCAGCAAGCTGGTGTCATTTGCAACCTGTCCCACTTTCCAGCTGCCTGCCCCCTCAATGCCATCCAACGACGTCAGATGTCACAGATGTCAGACTCAGGCTCTGACTAGGTGGGGATCCCGTTGCGGTGTAAGTACTTACTAGTACAGTACTACTTCAAATACTTGCATTACTACTAGTAGTAAGAGACTCCCCAGGGACGGCATACAGCGCGCTTCCAGGCTCATCCACGCGCATCCTCTATTCAATACCATCTCGTCCGGCTGGCGCCTATTGACATCGCATCCGGACAAAAACGTGGCAGCATAGAAAACTGATATCCTAGACTCCGGTGCGTTGCCTGCACGTTCGCAAGGTCCCTGTTGTTGCTCATATGAACAGCAGAAACATGTCTTCTTCTTTGTCATCCAGCGATGACCGTCGTCGCCCGTAGTGCGGAACTCTTGCCGCCAATGCCCAACTTGAACTTGTTGAAGGAACCGAACCGTAGTAGGAGGAAGTCAGCTCGGGGCTTCTGAAAACGGGGAGCGTTTTCAGAAGGGAGGGCGCGGCTGATGCTTTCTATGTGATTTTGTTTTTGTCATGCTTCTCATGCGTCCGGCGAAGAGAGATCTGCATATTCGAGGTTGTCTACGACAGACGGATCCTCCCCACAATCTCCGAGTCATGTCCTGCTTTCAAAGCAGCCCAAAGTGACCCTTCAAAAGAACTCTTCATCCTCGCTCTCCTCCTCCACCTCGACGAAATCGCCGAACGGGTCCTCCGAGTCCTCGGCGCGCGGCGTCGGGCGGGCGGCCTGCGTCAAATCAGAAACTCGTATCAGGGTGAAAGAGCGGGGACACGCACCGAGGGCGTCTGCGCGTCGACGGTGCCGGTGGGCGTCGCGGCCGCGGCGGGGGTCTGGCCGTTCCCGGTTTGTTGAGCGGCACCCGCTCCGGGAGTCTGTGCGTTCCCGGTCTGCTGGGCCTTGCCGGCTCCGGGTGTTTGTGCGCCGGCGGTCTGACCGGTGGCAGTGGCGCCGCCGGCGCCGGGAGTCTGTGCATTGCCGGCGCCGGGCGTCTGGCCGTTGCCTGTCTGCTGAGCGTTTCCTGCGGTTGCGGTACCGGCGCCGGGAGTCTGGCCGTTGCCGGCTCCCGGAGTTTGCACATTGCCGGCAGCGCCAGGCGTCGGCGCATTACCGCCCGTGGCCGCGCCGTTGTTCTACACCCGCCATATCAGCCACCGCCCTAAGTGCTACTTCACAACGCTACGCACCAAGACGCCACCCGTGGCGGCGACGTTGCCGTTCCCGCCGTTACCGTTCCGGTTACGGCCCTGGCCCTTGCGGCCTGTGCCTTTGCGGCCCTGAAATTCACGTCAGCTGGCTGTGGGTAAGTCGACAGAGGACACACGGCTTTGCCTTTCGCCTTGCCTTTGCGGCCCTTTGCGCCGGTGCGCGTGCCGGCGGTGACCCCGGTGGCGGCCGCGCCGGCCTGGACACATTCTCGTCAGCATGCTACAAGAGAGGACAGGCCAGACGCAACGCACCGCTCCGTTACCCGGGGTGGGATTCACGTCGCCGTTGCCGCCGGGGGTGGGGTTAACGTTATTAGTGCCCGGCGTCGCGCCGGCCTGCACGCCGGTTCCGGCGGCGGCCCCGGTCGCCTCGAGCTCCCCGGTCAGCGCGGCGGCCTTGTTGCTGTTGTTGTTCTTGTTGCCACGCGCGGCGAGGTCGACGGGCGCAGCGAGGGCCTGCAGCGCGAGGAGGACACTGCACGCGAACGAGACGGAGACGGACACGCGCATCGTGGGGGTGAGATTTGAAGTCGGTGGAAGGTGGCTGAAGTTGGACTGAAGTGCGGCACAGCCGGGGGGTACTGCGAATAGAGGGAGGGAGCGGAAAAGCGGACGGTGGCACAGCCAATGGGGTCTGCCAACCGCGCGGGGCCTTATATACCGACCGTGGCTCCATGTCGCGTTGTGCATCCGCGCGGGACGGCGGTGGTTCGCGAAGTCGCGGTGCAGCGATGGCCAGCCCGCCAGGCAGGTCCGCAGTCGATCCTCGCGACTGCGATCACGAGAGAGAGATCGAACTTCGAATATCCCACGGAGTAGACCGCGATCAATCGGAACGTTATCGCGTCGGCGCCGGATGCAGCGCGATTCCCATCGTGCATTTCGGCCTGCCGGTCCCGCAGCACACCTCAAGACCGGCGTACTTATGTATCCCCATCGGCCCACGTCGACGGTCGAACCAAGCTTCTTCAGACTTTCGCCCGCATGGCAGCAAGTTTCATATCCACGGCTCATGATCAGCGGTTGCCAAGCCGCCGCCGAGCTGATCAGCGGCACCATTTCCTGATGTGACCATCGGAGGATTCCCACGGCACCGGCTTCTGCTCTCGACCACCACCAGCGGCACCACGATGCTGCCAAACGAGCTCCTCCTCGAGATCTTCCGCCTCTCGGCCACGTCGGACCTTTGCAACATATCCCTCGCCTCACGGAACTTCTGCGCGCTAGCGCGCCCCTTCTTATTCACTTCTTTGTACTTCCAGCCCTATGTCTTGGACGACGACGTCGGGGCACTCCGGTGTCCTGCTCCAGAACAACGAAGGCAGCTTACCGATAAGCTCGCGTTGTTTGCCTCGGCGGCCATAGCACCACACGTCGTCCTCGTCAGCGTGACCTCGGACCTTGTCTCTGACGCGCCGGCGCCGTTCTCCGACGATACCGACACCCACACCATGATTGCTGCGCTATTCTCCACAATGGCGTTCTTCAGCAACTTGCGCTTGTTCGAAGCGCAGGGCATCACATTCACAACTGCGTCGATCGACGCACTCTCTTCCCTTTCCGCATTCTCCCTCAAGCTCAACCACTGCTCATTACTGCCCCGCCTTTCAAGTTTTCGGTCCGAATTCCCCGCGGTCAAACTCCCCGTTGTCGACCTCACCCTTGAGAAAAACGGCAGTAGTCACTGGAGCTATCCTGGGCGCTGGCTAGCGGTAATGTCACCGGACGTATTGCAGGGGCTCTTCATTCACAACAGGTCTGAGCTGGAGCAGGCCGAAATTTCCAGATTCCCTGTCTTCCCTCATGTGACGCGACTGAAGCTGCCGCTCGACCCTGCAGACCTAGATGTCATCCCTTCCCTACTTGCAACCGCGTTTCCGAGTGTACAATCACTTGATATCGATTGCGAAGACGCGCGGTTTGCGGAGCTCGAACGCTATTCTCCGGGACTCCTCTTTCCTCACCTCACGGAGCTGCAAAGCCACGCAGGAGCGGCAGGCTTTTTCCTCCCGCTGGCCCGACCAAAAAGCCTTACGTTGCACTACTCCTATGCGGCGCCGCTGCTCCACTCACTCGCCACTCTCCCGCGCGAATGCCTCGCCCGAACCACACACCTGCAACTGTCGCTGGACGACTGGGCCTCCGGCAACCTGGTGACGGAGATCTTGAATCACTTTCCAGCCATGGAGTCACTCAAGTTAGAGCTAACAGTGAACGACGACAACGCGACGGGATCGGTGCGTCTTCCCTCGACCGACTCGCGCCATTCTAACACATACCCAGATACTTGCGCTCGTAATGGCGCTCCCGTCGTTCCTCCCGTCTGCGCTCCGCTCCCTCTGGCTGCACGCGGATGTCTCGGGCGGCTGGGAGAACGACGAGGTGGATGACGCGGGCATCCCAGACACCCGCGTCCTGCATGCACAGCTGGTGGCGCGGTGCCCCGCCCCTCCGGGCTGTGGACATTCATGTTCCGCTCTTCCGTCTTAAGTGGTCTGAGAGCACCGGATTCGAGAAGGAGCTCATGGGCTGGAAGGATTACGTCTATGTCGATGAGCGCGACCTATAAAATTTTAGGAGTTCCATGGGGGAGTCTACTTCATCTCGTTTGTACATATAGCTATAAAGGAAGCAACAGCAAGTAGAGGTGGATCATCGGATGCCACTGAATGGCGCAAGCGATTCAAAGTGCGATATTCATTTCGATACAGGAAAAAAGAGTCTGGATCGTGAAATGTGTAGTGAATCTGTAGTTATAGATAGAACTAATCTTGAAGGATACACAAGCTGAGACTTTTTAAAATCCGCTGCAAGCGTGCCGCGCCACGCATGTCCTGCGACGAAATCCTGCTTGGTGCACTGAACTCGGTGCAGAGCTTGGTGAGCTTCACTGGCATCCCGTGACCGACAGCTTGCAGCGCATTAGCGGCTCTGGAGGCAACCCCCTCGAGGAAGGGTTCGAGGCTGACAAGGCCGTCCCTGGCGTCCCGATCCCAATTCCGGTCTTGGCGCCGGCCGGCGGCGACGTGCAGGGTGAATGCAGCAAGGTTGGGCAGGGTGTCGAGCCGCGCAAGGTCCGCGGCGCACTGCTGAGCCTTACTGGGGCGCATGTTAAACGCGGTGACCAGCAGCTGTGTGACTGGGCTGAACGCGGGGGACAGGAAAGCGTGCTTGAGGTCGGCGTAGATGGTGGGCATCAAGGAGAGGGTGGTGATGCGTGCGCCGGAGCGGACGATGCAGGATATCACGAGTTGGATTTCCTCCGCGTCAAAATCCGCGAGCTCCAGCGTCGTTAGCGCGGGGAGGTCGACGTATTTGAGGAGGTAGGCATTGGTAAGCGCGCCCAGAAGGAGCGTGGACAGGTGGGGCATCAAGACGGGCGTCACCTCGAACTTCGGGTCCACAGAGCCCCCCCAGTTGAAAGCTGAGGCGATGACGAGCTCCTCCAGGCCGACTAGTTCCGCGAGCAGGGGCAAGAGCTCCTCATACGTCGCCGATTGCCGGATGGTCAGTTTCTTCAGCTGGTGGCGGGGAAACGAGAGATAAGGGCCCGTCAAGTAGGTCGGCGTGCGGATGGACAGCTCACGCAGATTCGGGGTGTCCAGTTCCATGTAGTATTGATTCGGTCTCGTAAAATCCTGTAAGTCGATGACAAGCTTTGTGAGTCGCGGACACTCGATGCGATGGTCATGGCTTGCGAAACGTGACCAGGGGGTGCTCTCCACGGAGGCAACGGCCCACTGCGCAGCAGAGTTGAATAGAAAACGGGGAGGCCTAGAGTGGCGAGGCAGGGAAAATTCCAGCGGTAAACCGCGAGCGTGCTGCAGCGAATCGTCGAATAAGGAGTCGCTACTGGAATTGAGGGTCCGGCGCGGGGGGTAGATCCGCGTCCACACGTGTGGGTGCGCGATCGCGATATCGCGCCAAAGTCGACAGACGGCAGTAATTCGGAATCGTGTGCGGTTGATTTCGTGGGGAGGCACGGAGTCCATGGCTACCTCAAACATCCGGCCCAGAATTTCGGCGGGGAGAGAGTTGACAGGGTACACAACGCTCGATAGGTCATGCTGGATGGCCGCTAGACGGTCTTCGAGGGTTTCTAGCTGTGGCTTGAGGGCGTTGATTGCGTTTTGGATGTGCTCCGCCTCGTCTCTCAGCCTGGATATGGCGGCGACATTGAGCGGGAAATCCGAACGCCGGACGAATGGGCGAAAGAATGAGAGGGCTTGAATGGCGGCGGCATGGTCATGGAAGACGTTGATCATGATGAGTGAAAGAGTGTGAGTGTAGCGGTAGACTCTTGTCGTTGTCAGAGTCTTCGTCAACGTGGGTGTGACGTGACTGTGACTGGTGACATCAGTCACGGTCACGCTAGAACCAAATCAACCTGTGTAGATTTGCCCAGAATAAAGGGCTGCTGGGTCTGAGTCTTGAAAGGCAGACCCTGACCTTAACAGACCCTGCCCCTTAACTTGAGTCACTGATATACATACAATATCTCTTACAATTTCTCCAATGTATACACTGACAGTTTTAATCACAATTTCTGAGATGAATAAATTTGAGATTTCAACAATGATTTCATTGTACTGTAAACCTACAGTTTCAGCAGTGGAGAAATGCAAATAGAAACAAAGAGAATCTATGTATATTTCTCCACTGCTGATTTCCTTTGTATCATCCGTGCTGAAACTGTCAGTGAAATCCTTTATTTCACTGACAGTTTCGCCACATTTGATGCGCGTGATATCATGACCAAATATATGCACGCAGATATGAACTATTTCAGGCATAGTTTCAGTGTCATAGATAGTTTTCACTTCACACTTGCTAAAACTAGTATATATTTGACCAAAATCAATCTCAGTTTCCAAAAAGTATATTCTGGGCAAATCTACACAAGTTGATTTGGTTTTAGATTCTACCAGAATCTAGAACAGTTTCTACTTCAAGGGATATTTTACCAAATCCGGTGTGACTGTGTGAGTCCTTATTGAGGTCAAATACCGGAATCCAGACAAATTTTGGAAATCCTGACAGGATTTGAGCCAAAACATCTTGAATCTAGAATCCAACCGAACCAGACCATTGACAATGTCTGAGGTCTGAGCGCAAATCCGGATAAACGTCAAGTTTTAACACACATATAAAACAAGATTTGGACTGTTGAGGTCATTTATAATTTCACTACTTAGCTTCTAATATACCCATGACAACCAACAATTAGACTGAAAATATTTGGTAGAGATTGTACTAGTATTTACTTGATTTTCTGCATTTTTTGACCTACTTTTAGTGTGTTGGGGGAAAAATTGAGGTTGAAGCAGAATCTGGACAAAATCTTTGTATTTTTGGTATGTCCGATCCAAATATGGACATGAGAGGTCCAGACCGATTTTCAAAAAAAAAATCTGGACAAACTTTAGCCAAATTATTTTTCAGAATCTGACCTCAGTAGGAATTTACACAGGTTTTAAGTCAGGCCATAGATCATGACTGTTGGTTCCTTGCTGACAAATTGGACCAATGCACTAATAGGATAGAGCATGGGTCAGGGTCGACCCGCAGGGTTTCAGGGTAGGGTCTGTCAGGGTCAGGGTAAGGTAGAGAGCGTGGGAACCCCGCACCTTTACAAATCAATCAATTGATGGCATCAGCGACAAAATTTGGGGTTCATGAACCAAAAAAATATTTTTTCAGTGAAGTTCAAGGTTTCTGAGGTGATATCCATGACTTTGAATGTATTTACACTAGCTACATATTACAATCCTGCTTCAAACCCCACCATTTGACTGTAGATACCATTCTGAGCACATGTAACAGAGTGTGACATCCTTCTAAATCTGGTAGTAACTTCAATTATACTTTCTTTTACCTTTGATATATGCCAGTATAGTCAGATATATGCTCAAAATAGGCTTGTTTGCTTTTTCTATAAATTACCTGTTTATATGGCTATGTTGTCACAATGAAGTCACATTGATGTCACGCTTTGGCTGAGGTCACCCACATCACAGCGACAAAATCTCTGAGGTCAAGAAATCTAAAATGTACATATTTTGAAAGTTTGGAACCTAACTTTAATCAAGCATATCTGTAGCTCTCATTTCCACATGTTTTCAATATTTTTGGGTGTCAACTCTCTGTGTTATGAGGGGCGCATCAGCGCTGATCCCATCAGCTGACTAAAAGTGCGGGGTTCCCACGCTCTCTACCTTATGGCAATTTCTAAACCCGGCCAAACCCAGACCCTTTTCAGGGACAACCCGGAGGGTCCAATGAGCTGTTGCGATTTAACAATTCCCTATCTAAACTTGATTTTTGTGAGTTTTTAAGAGACAAAAAAAAAATCATATGTCACTTATGTTACTCATATGTCATATATGTGACATGTGACATGTGACATATGAGTGCACTGTATTAAATATGCTTGACATATTGAGGAATAGGCTCCATATGCTATATCTGAGCCAATATCATACAGCAAAATGTATCTTATATTGAAATTATTGTCCCAAATACATCTTCTACTTCTATGTCTCCAACCCGTGGGTCAACCCGGACCCGGTTGGACCTGTACCCGGAAGGGTCAGGGTTAATCAGGGTCAGGGTCAGGGTCGGCCTTCTGAGACCCGGACCCATACTCAACCCTATGCACTATGATTACTCCCTCCCTAAAAGCAATCCATGCTCATCCTTTTATTTCTACTTAGTTTATGATGATATCATGATTCAAATGGTGAATAAATAAAAACAAGTGGTTTGAATAGTTATTATCTAAGATGATGAAATACAGGCTAAAAGTTTAATAAAATTGTACTGCCACTAGGAAATCAACTTCAACCACAGAAGCCAATGTTGAGCATAATATCCCATCTTGTAGGGGTCTTTGGAAACCACTGTAAGATTTCATTTGATTCGAATAGCCCCTAGGGTTGTAACACATTGATTTTCAAAAGCATTCATATGATATGTGACATTCCTCTGATGATTGTACTCTCTAATAACTAAAGTTTGGTTATACTGATCACTCTATATTGCAGTATATAACTGCAGGGCACAATTAGCTATCAACAAAAAAGTTCCTTTTCTGGACACTGTGTCAGATGTGACTTTGGGGGGCTTAAACACTAAAGATATATAAACAGGGAAGTCTGTAAGTAAGTGCCATGTGTAAAGTGCATATGGTAAGTAACAAACAAGAGAACATACAGAGATATATAAGCAACAAGACTGAGGAACAAGGTAACTGGAATGATGAAACAATGTGCCATGACCAGTCTGCAGGCCGAGATGGTTATCAGATGCACAGATATGACAACTACTCCCAGACTTCCTCCCAACGGGTGAACTGATGATTTGGACGCCCTGAGCCTAACACTGACACTTTCCCTTGGTGTGATTGGTGATTTGTAGAATGTAAAACTTGTTTCTGAATTAACAATTTACAAAATGGAATTTTTGATGCTGGACAACAGCTGTCAGAATGGCTGTATTCAGTTAAAATATTCCAGTATAGGTTGTAACTTGTGCCATGAGAATCAATAATCAACCAAAATATGGTACTCACCAGTGCAAACATTCCTGTATGGATAAAACCTGCAGAAAGATAGCAGAAATTTCTTGTATATCATGTGTTGTTTTTCCATAGTTTGGAAGAAGACAGGAAGGACATGAGCCTGAGACTAAGCCTGTGAAGTACAGCAAATTGTGCTGAGAAAAGGTAGATCTTAGAGCTTCAATATTTGATGAAACATTAATTTCACTAAGTTTAGCATACACCAGGATCTCATAGTGTATATATATTTCTTCATCATCTGCAGAGAGTGGAATTTGCCCCTGAGGATCCCATGCCCAGAAGTAGAGATTTTGTGCAGCTGGAAGTGTAATAAAACACAGAGATTGATGGAATGTAGGCTTTAAATTTTTTATAATCAGATATATCTCTGCTGTGCAGGCATCTGACATGAATGTTCCTGCTAGTTGACAGTCTTTCCAGTTTTCAACTAAATTGATGTCTAGCTGAACACCTTCAGTAAGATCTGTGCGGCTTAGACTCATAAATATCAATATAACAACTGCTTACATGCTAGATATATTTGATGAGAATGCCAGTGTTTGTTTATACAAATTCTAAATTCACATACCAGTGGGAGAGTGAACATGATTTGTTGCAATAGATATTGCCTCTCCTACAACTTTTGTACCAGTATTTCTATCATAGACAAAACTAACCCCTGTAGTAAAATGCATAATATTGCAAGAGTCAGAATGCAGATCTGACAAAGCAATATGTACTGGTGATATTGAGTGAAATCACACAAACAATATTTCAAGTCATACCATGTGGTATTACTGCTTGTCTGTTGTTCTGATACAGAAACACAATACCAATCAGCGGCCTGTGGAAATATTACCTTCTGCATCTTGAAGTGGTCAAGAGTTTGGATCCTTTCTGCAGAATCATATTGGTATAGTCCAAGGAGAGGGATAACAATATCATGTTCAGCATTGATTGCCAATGTTCTGCTTCTTGTGAGGAAATGGAAAGTGTGTGTGGTAGAAGCAATCCATGTACTTGTATCTGCAATTGAGGAGGGGAAACAAGCAGGTTGATTCACAGTTCTTGTTTCAACTTGAATCATTGCATTTATCTTCAACCAAAAGGCCAAGGGATTTTCTGGACCCAGCTCAATCTTTAATTGGCCTGAGGCTGGACAGAACCATTCTCTATATTGTGTAAACTTAAGATCACACAATGAGAGCTGTAGATGCTCTGAAAGATACCGATTTGCTGCCTAAAGGGTCTTGTTAGTGACTAATTATAAACCAGCCAAGACACAAAATCCCTACATGGAAGAAATCTGTCTTCAGTTCCATTCAGTATAGTTGGTTTTCCATAAAAGTACAGGATGATTACCATATTCTAGTGAAAACTTGCATCAAGCAGTACATGATCTATGCTTTGTAATGCAACCAGAAATGGAATCAATTCTACAGAGCTTAGGGTAAGTCATTCATTGATCTTATATTATATTCATACCCTCATGATAGATAAGGATATTGTTTGACTTGAAGTGGGATGCCCCCAATAACTTTGGGATATACAATCTAATTTCAGTGAGCTACTATACTAGTTGCTGTTGCCTGGATATACTCTAGATCCTGATGGTTCATGGCACTTTTCTTGTACTATACCAATTATTTAGTTGAGCAGCTTATCAATATTATATTACATACGTGCATAAAGTCAGAGACTGTATAC